TCATCTCATCTCTTTGGGAGGCCGAGGCAAGTGAATTGCCAGTAGCCTGTGGGTTCGAGACCAGCCCAGGCAACTTGGTGAGACCTTGTCTCTACAATAAATAAAAAATTAGCCAGGTGTGGTAGCCCATGCCTGTAGTTCTGGCTACTTGGAAGGCTGAGGCGGAAGGCTTGTTGGAGCCCAGCAGGTGTGCTGTGAGTGTACCACTGCACTCCAGCCTGGGCGACAGAGTGAGACTTCAACTCAAAAAAAAAAAAAAAAAAGCAGGTATTGATTGTCTTGCTATAAAGAACATAACAGAGAGAGAAAATTGCTCTGCTTAACCCTCAGTGTTTTAAGTCTGTCTCATAAATAGCAGTAGTCTCATCCAGCCTAGTCTCAGTATAGCATAAAGGAAGAAATAGTTGAGTGAGGGGACAGAGTATAAGAGCTTTAATTTTCCAGCTCCTGAATTAAATCTCTGTAGAATATATATTCACAGGCCCCAAATAGAAACATGCTTATTTAAGTAAAAACCAACAGGTCAACTGGGCTCGGTGGCTCAGCCTGTAATCCCGCGCCTTGGGAGGCTGAGGTGAGTGAATTGCCTGAGTCCGCGGGTTCGAGGCCCGCCTGGGCAACTTGGCAAGACCTCACCTCTACAATAAATAAAAAAAAAATCAGCCGGGCGTAGTAGTGCGCGCCTGTAGTTCCAGCTACTTGGAAGGCTGAGGCAGAAGGATCGCCGGAGCCCAGCAGGTCGAGGCTGTGGTGGCCGGGAGCGGCCACTGCACTCCAGCCTGGGCAACAGAGTGAGACTCCAACTCAAAAAAACAAACAAACAAACAAAAAAAACCCAACAGGTGTGTGGGGTCAGGGTGAATTGGTTACTTCCAAAGGAAGATATGGATAAACTGTTAAACTAGCTCCTTATATTAATGAATATAATTGAAAGTTCAGTTTATCCGCTGTGCTTTAATCTTTTAAAGTAATATGATCTGCTTTCAATAATCCATTTAATCCAAATGGCACAGTTCATTGGTTCCCACTTTTTCTTTGCAGTCTATGGAGGTCATTTAAGATGTTTTGCTTGTCTTTAAATGAAATGTCAAATACTATTTTTCATGGAATTCTTGTAGTTGCTGACTAAATGTATTCAGTTTTGAAATACGTGTTCATTGAAAATCTTATCATTCAATCTATTTGCCGATTTTAGAATAGATATAAATGTTATTTTATTAATGATTTCCCTTCTTGTTGAGTATATCTTCTCATTACTAAACTTTTAGGCTTATCTTTAAAATTCTCTTGTCTAAGTGGAACACTTGATTAGTTATACTTAACTGAAATCATGACTGTTCTGTCTATAACAGTAGTCCTTAAAAATATGTGTCAGTAAATTGAGAATGTGAAGATTAGAATAATATTATGAGTTAAAGTGGCATATTGTATATAAGTGAATTATTTGCTCTGGCCATATCACCAGAGTTAATTCTCCAAATTCTTTTTTCTCTGTTTTGAATTGTTAGGCAAAATTTCATATTTTTAACTGTTAAACTTTGTTTTGGTTTAGACTGCCTTCTTTCTAAGAGGTTTTCAGTAGTAATCACTAGTAATTTATACTATTTGAAATATATGTAATTCATAGAAAGGTCTGTGGTCTAGGATGGTAGTGAAATCTAAAATGTTCTGTTGTCTTAGGAGTAATTTTGGCACTCAGCACAAAAAAAGGTGATTCAAGGTTTCTCAAGACAAATTCTAAATGGAAAACAAGTGATAGAGCACTGCCTCTTTCTCTATCATTCAGAGATTGAAAAAATATATGAAAAAATATATAGCGTCAAAAGAAGAGAGTGTATGTTTTAATAAATAATGTCTATTTATTGTTGAAACTGCTTGGTTGAATTTCTCAAATTAAAGATATTTCAGTTGGAGAAACTGAAATCTTGGGTTTAGCCAAACTTCTGTTTTAAATGTGCTTTTGGCTTTACCTTAAAAATAATCTTTTGGAAGAACAATAATAGCTTATTAAGTAACTGGTGGTCTTTTGAAAAATGTTGGTTTGTGAATTCTGCATTTCCCTTCGTGTGCTTTTTTCTTTTCTTCTGTCTCTTCTCATTCTGTAGATTCAGATCCAGGACATACAAGTGAAAATTGGGGGGAGAGACTTATATCTTCTTACAGGACATATTCAGGTAATTAGATTATCAGGTGCTCCTGTTTAGCCAGTGATTTCTGTCACGTTTACAATTAATTATTGTACTATAACTTATTTTCAAACCTATAAGTAGATATTTGGTTAAATAAATGAACTACACGAGTGACACCAAATTTCCCTATTTTTGTTCTGAGATACCTAGTGTGTCATATTCAACACATGCTATGTGTGAACCTTGTAGAAGGACTGTATACCTCCACTCAGATTTTGTACAGCACTATGTGGGGAACACCATTCATGTGAAAGTCAATCCTTGGCATTGTGCAGTGCAGTGACTCCTGTGGAAAAATACCCAAGCTCCTTAGTCTGTTTTGTTGTATATCCTTCTCAAGGTATACCTGATTTCAGTAGACAGTGTTATCTAACCCTTTAGTCATGTGATGTATTTTTAAAAAACATTAAAATTATTTTTCCTCTGAACTCTCTAGTCTTTATTGACTTTGTTGCCTAGGTTGAATTTCACCATAAGTGTATTAAAATACCAGGTTATATGGAGAAATGCTGGTTACCAGTTAACTGTTTGGGATCCCTCTATTCACCTATGGCACCAGTTTTTTACTGATTCATAATTGCTCCAGCTAGAAAAATACAAGAGAATATATACTATCATTTAAAAATAATAAATGTATTCTCTACTATGTGAAACAGTTAAATGTTTTGTTTGTCCTTTTTTAAAGTGGGCTAACATTCTCATCTCTGAACTTATAAAAACTGAATCTAAAGTGTCTAGTTTTCAGGGTATGCATTTAGCTATAAAAACTGATAAAAACTTTCTGTTTCTGATTTTCTTATTTTATACATTTGTAGGATTGTGTGGGGTGGTAGAAGAACGAAATAGTTGTCTTTAAAATTATCTTGAAAGTTGTTAATGAGGCTGATTAATTAAACCAGTAGTACCTGGTTTCCAAAACTGAGGTGAAAGGGGCATATTAGCAATCAGTTACTGTGGAATTAGGCATAATTTTCTAAAGGGTGATTCCTAAGCACCATGGTGCACCTGAGAACTGTATGTATACAAAACCATCATGATCTGAGTGTCATTGCTGAAAATCAAAAGATACAGACATTCAACTGTTAGAGATTCATGTAAATATTTTAGAACCAGAGAGTCATGACAAATATTTTCCTTAGAATTGAAGTATATACATTGCAAACATGATTGATTTAATTATGTTTATCTGTATTTGAATTATAGTCTTATTGGTTACTCTTACACAGTGATTGCTTTGTGGGGAGATGTCATATTCTTTAATTTTTGAGACACTATAAGGTTTATGAACAAAGATTCCCAAGAAACATAATTTTGTCTCATCTCCTTAATATGTATTCTAGACTTAATTGGGATGTGATAATGTTGACCTTTCTCTCTATTTTGACAAGGCCTGAAAAGAAAACGTTCAGTCTTCAACATTATGAAACCGGGACATTTTTGTTTTTTTGAATATTCTCTGGACCTTGAAAGGAAGAATGTTAGATTGTTGAATAGTTTATTTCTCTGTTTGCTTTGAGTAGTCTTAGGTGAATTTCTTGGAGTTTTTTTTTTTTTTTTTCTTAAAAGTCTCTAGTCTGTCTGAATTGAACTTTGAGTTAATAGTAGACTGCTAAATGAGCACATTTGTCAGTGTACCTATGTTTAAACTTCAAAGTTCTGGTCTACTGTTTGGATAAAAAAATAAAAGTTTCAGTTACTAAATCTTGAGAAGTAGCTCTTTATCAAAGAGTATAGTGTACCATCACTTTTTATTTATGTTGGGTTAGATTCTTTAAAGGACAAATCCCAGATAGTGTTATTGACTGCTCTAAACTTGAAAATGCATACTTTTGGCACATGTTAGTCTAACACAGTGTTGAAGAATGGTGTAGTTGTCTCTAACCTAGCTACCTTACACCAACTACTGTTCAGTTTCTATTCCTATCTCGTGCAAAACATGAACTCACACAAATGACTATGGTATCTTAATGAAAGAAAATAGAGTTCATATTGGATGCTAGCATATAATTTGAATTTTTGTTTTAAAAAAGTAATTTTTAGTGTCTCCTTGGCATATATCATTCTATTGATCAGTGTGTTTTTAGCATTGTAGTAAAATGTTAATTAATTGACCAAAAATGTCAACTGTTTTGCAAATAAAAATAGAAGACAAAATTTTATAACATTTTGAGGATAGATGCTAAGTATTTTTTTCCCCTCTGATTACTAGATTTTGCTTCTTTTCCTTGAAACATCTTTTCTACTTAATATAAAATTTTTGCAATGTTAAATATATTAATTTTAGGAAAGAATTACATTCATTATATTTAAAATTTTGTTATTCAAATAGAAAACCATTAAAGCAGCACAATAGTTATTAAATACTAGAGAACCAAGACATACAGAAAATTACTAAGAGAAAGAGTATGTGTACTTTTCAGGAAGAAAAATAGGCTTCTCCAAAAATAGAGCTTAATAGTTTAGCAGTAAGTTAGGCTAAATATTGTACTGAGATTGACTTTATACTAAATTGAATCACTAATTATATTAAAAATATGAAAATAAAAGATACTGAAAAAATATAACGATTTAAATTTTAATTTTTGTTTGTATGTAAAATAAAAATTTCAGTAAAGTGGACTTTTTAATAATTTGTGGGCAACAGACTTTATTAGGACCTCTAGTAGTTCTTGGCCATGAAGGATGCCAGTTTATTTTAATGTAGGTGGTACACTAGAAGAATTCTTAATTTCTTATGCCTACTAATAATATCATTTTCATTAATTTCTAGAAATTTGCTAGATTAATAAATGTTTATCTCTTAGATTATTCTAGCTGCTGGTCACATCTGCCTGAAAAGAAATCACTGTATTTACTATTAGCTTTCCCTTCTTCCACTCATTTTTTTGTTTACATTTTTGTAGCTTCTCTTTGCAGGTACCCTCAAACTTGTATCAGTAAAGTCCAGATGTTTGTATAGGGTTTTTCAAAAAACAGATGCCTAGACAGGTAATAGCCAGAACTCTGCATTAGCCTTCATAGGGCTCCTGCATTAACACTCAGAGGAGTCCTAAAGAAAAGACAGAACTCCTTATCTCACTTACAGATTTCAGTTCAGTCTGAATTTCCTGGCCCTTAATGAAAAATACAGGCTACTTTGCTAGTGTATTTTCTAAGTAGTTAAATCTGAGAGCTGACTTTGTGATGGATTAGGCCTCTTTGAAGAGGTCCTTGGAAATTTTGGAATTTTTTTTGGCAAGATGTGTGTTCATCCACAGCCACACAGTGTCTTTAAGTTACTCAGTTATAGCTTTTATTTAATATCATTTCATATTCAGCTATCCAATCACAAGAATAAAATGATAAGGTGCTTTTTAAAAGTAGTTATTCTTTGTGATGAGACTTGGCTTAAATACTTAGCTCTTTGGGAGATTGTACAAATCATTGCTGGAATTAGGGAAGTAATTTGAAGGAGCATTGCTATATATGTATTTTTAGTAATAACTAAGAAGAATAAAAGTATAGTGAATGAAAGAGAATTTTCAAAGGTAAATACTAAGGGTTGTTTGAAATGTTACTGAAGAAATTAAATTTTAGTAGAACAAATCATCAAAGTCAAATTTCACTAGTAATACATTTTCAAATGTTATTAATTTTCTGAAAACAAGAGAATTAAGAATTTACTTTTATATAAACATAATAAAGACCCATTGTCTTTTTGTTTGACTACTACTCGTTCATGTATTCTACACTTTTCTCATATACATGTGTAGCAACTATAAAAAAAAATCATCTTATGTTTGCTTTTGAGTACTTTCATTTGTTTCAGAATCTTAAAAATTTATTAATAATTCCAGAGAAAGAAGGTCCAGAAAAGAAGAAAACAAAAAAGGATGCTGGAAATAAGAAATCCACACCAGTTAGCATTCTTTTTGGTTATCCACTCTCTGAACGAAAGCAGATGGCGCTACTTATGCAGATGACAGCAAGAGACAACAGTCCAGGTGATACCTACCATTATTGAGTTAATATGTATTCTTAATTTTTCTCAGGCAATTAAATCAAACCTTGTTTTAACAGTTATTTTTAACTACTTTTAATCTTGATCTTTTCTTGAACTTAATCAGAATTACTTATAAAGCAGTTTGTAATTTTGTGATTATTTGTGTGACAATTTGTTTATCATCTGTATCCCCCACTAAATTAGAAGCTATACAAGAGCAGGGCTCTTGGCTCTTAGTGGACCTTCAGTAAATATTAGTTAAATTAACCCTCTGCACTCAGATGTCCCCTTTGTGGGGACATCATAAATCTAGCGAATCACTCCATAAAGAGGTTGCTGGTGATTATACAGGATAAACTTAAGCCAGTGAAAAGTTTTTTTAAAAAGTATATTTCCTTGAAGTTTTCCATTCAAATTGCACATAACAAAAAGATAGAATATATACTGAGATATATGTTTAAAAAATTACCAGCTGGTGCTACATAGAAAGAGAATGTTTGAAGTGCTTTTACAGTGGTGCACAGACTGGACAGTAAATTATATCCTATTAATGTGGGAGGAAGAAAACAAGACTACATTGCTCAGATAGAAAACCACCAGGTGGAAGACATCAAACAAATTACTATTGCACAAACACGTATCAATGAACCTGCAATGCATGTTGGTGACTGTTTCACATGTTACCGTACATTAGAAAACGGTAAGATAGAAAAGTTTGATTTTTTTTTTTGGTCATAAAAAGTTCTTCAGTGTCCAAAATTCCATTATAACCCAAATATCATTACAATAAAGTAATTGGTTCCAATGCTAAACTATTTAATATGAAGTGATTTTGTTCTTTACTATTTTGTAAAAAAGTGCAGTTGAGTTGCTGATAGGTGATCTACAAGATATCTTCAAGCACAAAGGGTTAAATGAGTAGTTTAGAAAAGGGTTAATCAGCTTGAGAAATCTACAGAAGTATGTGCTTTTACCTTACTGAAGGTTTTTTTTTTTGCTTTTGTTTTGTTTTGTTGTTTTTTGAGTGGAATCTCACTTCTGTCGTCCAGGCTGGAGTGCAGTGGGTGGCATGCTTATGGCCACCCCAGCATCAACCTGCGGGGCTCCGGCAATCCTTCTGCCTTAGCCTTCCAAAAAGCCGGAACTACAAACGCGTGCTACCATGCCTGGCTAATTTTGTATTTATTGTAGAGATGAGGTCTCGCCAAGTTGCCCAGGCTAGTCTCGAACCTGTAGGCTCGGGCAATTCTCTCACCTCGGCATCCCAAAGTGCTGGAATTACAGGCGTGAGTCACTGGGCCTGGTCTGCTTTTGTTTTTTATTTTATTATTTTTCAAAATCTTAGATTCTGTAAGGCTATTTCCAGGCTTATGGTTTTCTTTCCAGTTCACTAGCACCTAGTTGGTAACTGGTCATCTTACCACATTAGTACTTTTAGAAACGTGTGTAATCCATATTTAATTGCTTAAGATCCACTAAATTCTTTTAAAAGGAAAAATACCTGCAGTTTGCTAAGTTTCTTTTATTTCACATTTTCAGTTGAGGTGTTGTACCACACTTATATGTGTTTATCTTTGCTGTGTGCTTTAAAAATAATTGATGACAGCTTACCAGCAGGACAGAAATAAAGAAGGAACGAACCAAGCTACCTGCTGACTTATAAAAGAGAACTAAAAGAGTAGATAAAATGCCTGAGATAGTTATTACTATTCAGCATTGCACTTGGCTATGTATTCTAGCAGCTAAAAACACAAAAGAAAAAAATTGAATTATATAATTCTTATTGACTGATACAAGAAAGTAAATCACTTTTTTCCTGGAGGAAAAATAAATTATTTTGGTTCTGAATTCAAGGCAATTTTTATGTATGACTCTGGGTTCTTTTCCTGTTTTGACTCTTTTTGAAAATTTGAGACAACGTGATTATATTAGTTTCTAAGTATCATCATTTTAATCAAAACATGAATGTGTATACTATCTTCCGCTACTAACAACATTTTAGGGCTTCCTGCTTTGACTCTGTTGTTGTGGCTACTCCTACCTTTTCCACCTCCAACTTTGGAAAGACTGTGGCCAAATTAAAGATAATTTACAGTGTTAAACTTTGAATGTTTCTGTGAAATGTTGAGTCCATGTCAAAGTTAATGATTCTTATTCAACTTTATTAATTGATTTTATAGTCAGATGGAAGACTTGTTATATATGTATGTGTATGTATGTCAGGGTCTCAATCTGTCACCCAGGCTGGAATGCAGTGGCACAATCATGGATCACTGCATATCAACCTCCTGGGTTCAGGTGAGCCTTCCAACTCACCTTCCCAAGTAGCTGGAACTAACAGGCATGCACCACCATGCCTGGCTAATTTTCAGATTTTTTTGTAGAGCTGAGATCTCTCTATGTTGCCTAGGCAAGCCTTGAACTCCTGGGCTCAAGCAGTCCTCCCACCTCAGCCTCTCCCAAGTGCTAGGATTACTGGTGTGAGCCAACATGTCCGACCAACTTTTATTAAACTGATTTTTTAAATAACTCGAACCTGCGGGGCTCCGTGGCTCAGCCTGTAATCCCGCGTCTTTGGGAGGTTGAGGTGAGTGGATTGCCCGAGCCCGCAGGTTCGAGACCCGCCTGGGCAGTGAGACCTCACTTCTACAATAAATCAAAAAAATCAGCCGGGCGTGGTAGCGCATGCCTGTAATTCTGGCTACTCGGAAGGCTGAGGCGGAAGGATCGCCGGAGCCCAGCAGGTCGAGGCTGCGGTGGCCGGGAGCGGCCACTGCACTCCAGTCTGGGCGACAGAGTGAGACTCCAACTCAAAAAAAAGATTAAATAACATGAACCTTTGCCCTTATAGTAAATTAAAGAATTAATACAATATGACAAAAAGTAAAAGTTCTCCATCTCCAGTGTCCTCTCCTCTAGAGGCAACTACTGTTAACAGTTTTTTATCTATACTTCTAAGGATTTTCTAGACACAAACATATAAATACATATATATCTTTCATTGTAGTTTGCTTTTCAGTATAAATAGGGCTATACTATGATACTGTTCTGGAGTTGGTTCCGTTGTTTTTTTTTTTGAGTTGGAATCTCACTCTGTCGCCTAAGCTGGAGTGCAGTGGCACACTCACAGTCACCCCAGTGTCAACCTGCTGGGCTTCGGTGATCCTTCTGCCTCAGCCTTCCAAATAGCTGGAACTATAGGCGTAGCTACCATGGCTGACTAATTTTTGATATAGTGTAGAGACAAGGTATCTCCAAGTTGCCTGGGCTGGTCTCCAACCTGCCCTCAGGCAGTCCACTTGCTTCAGCCTCCCTGAGCGCTGGGATTACAGGCTGAGCCACCAAGCCTGACCACTTGATTCTTTTAAGGGTAACTCTTAGTCAACTTTATTAATATGTGTAGAACTAGAGTGGAAAGCTTTTGAAATATCAATGTTTGCCATCATATAGATATACTTGAAGTTTAGGGTTAATTGTTTTATCTATTAGATATATGTTTAGTTTTTAAGAATTCAACAAGCTGACTTTCTTAATAATTTGTCTATAAAGATTATGATTAAATTGATTCATTCAACAAATACTTCTTGACTACCACTGTATACCAAGAAGTCTTCTAAGCAGTCAAGATACAGTGATGAATAAGGTAGATAAGGTCCTTGCACTTATGGAGTGTAAATTCTAGTAATACTTGGTTAGAAAACTATTGCTGAGATAATATGCTTTAAAATTCTAAAGGTAAACCTTATACTTTTTTTTTTTTAGTTGGAGTCTCACTCCATCACCCAGGCTGGAGTGCAGTGGCACGCTCATAGCTACCCCAGTATCAACCTGCTGGGCTCAGGCCATCCTTCTGCCTCAGCCTTCCAAGTAGCCAGAACTACAGGCATGTGCTACCACACTCGGCTAATTTTTTATTATTATAGAGATGAGATCTAGCCAAGTTGCCCAGGCTGTTCTCGAATCCTTGAGCTCAGGAAATCCCCTCACCTCAGCCTCCCATAGTGCTGCGATTACAGGCTTGAGCCACTGTGCCCCACCATTAAAAAATTTTTTTTTTAATTGAGGAAAGGATGATACTGCTGTAGAGCTCTAATCATGTCAGGTTGCAAGACTAATAGAAAATTATTTTCTATAGATTTCTTTTTCTCTTAGAGCAATTTCTTTTAAATAGTTGGAAGTTTTCAGAATTGAAGAACACTGTGTATATCTTAACTTGTTAATTGATTAAGAAATCACATTTTTTTCTTTTAGTAGTGCTGAAATGAGGGAGAAGCCTTTGGGCATCATCTAGTTATATAGAAACTAGAACAAATATCAAAATAAAGGAATCAAGGAAAAGCACAATTTTTTTTTCTTTTTAAAATATTTTATTTTAAAGATGTGGGGTACAATTCACGGTTAGGTATACGAATGTTCATTATGCAGGTACCCTTGTTGATGAGGTATGCCTAACCCCTCCCCATGCAGATTCCCACTACTGCCAATCCTTTTCTTACAATATTATGATAATTGTTCAAGGTCCACTTGTGAGTGGTCCACTTATGAGTGAGAACGTGCGATACTCAGCTGTTTGTTTCTGTGATCGATCATTGAGTATTATAGACTCTTGAGTCCATCCAAGTTGCTGCAAAGTTCATAATTTTGTCCTTTATGACTGCATAATACTCCATTGTGTATATGTACCACATTTTTTTTTTTTTTTTTGAGTTGGAGTCTCACTCTGTCGCCCAGACTGGAGTGCAGTGGCCGCTCCCGGCAACCATAGCCTCGACCTGCTGGGCTCTGGCGGTCCTTCCGTCTCAGCCTTCCGAGTAGCTGGAATTACAGGCGCGTGCTTCCACACCCAGCTAATTTTTAAATTTTATTGTAGAGATGAGGTCTCGCCTGCCCAGGTGGGTCTCAAACCTGCAGGCTCAGGCAATCCACTCACCTCAGCCTCCCAAAGGCGTGGGACTACAGGCTGAGCCACCGAGCCCGGCTCACATTTTTTTTAAATCAGTATTTTTTATTATGATATTGTGGGGTACAGTTAAGGGTTAGGTATACAAATATGCTTCATTCAGGCCCCTTGTTGATAACAGGTGTCTCCCTGTCTCCAGACAGATGTTTACTACCATTAGCCCCATCCCCCTTCCCCCCCATAGTTTCCCACCAGTGTCAGTCATTTTCTTATGGTAGTGCATTGGATGATCAAAGTCCACTATATGAGTAAGAACATGTGATATGCAGATCTTTGTTTCTGTGAGAGGTCACTCAGTATTATAGACTCTAGTTCCTTCCAGGTTGCTGCAAAAATCATGATTCTGTTCTTTTTGATGGCTGCATAGTATTCCATCGTGTATATGTACCACATTTTTTTTAATCCAGCCCTCTTTTGATGTACAGTATGGTTGGTTCCAGGTTCTTGCCGTTATGAACAATGCTGTGATAAACATTCGTGTGCAGGTATCTTTTTTATAGAGTGATTTGAGAGTTCTTTTTTATCAGTATTTTTTATTTTGATATTGTGGGGTACAGTTAAGGGTTAGGTATACAAATATGCTTCATTTAGGCCCCCTTGTTGATAACAGGTGTCTCCCGTCCCCAGACAGATGTTTACTACCATTAGTCCCATCCCCCCTGCCATGGTTTCCCACCACTGTCAGTCATTTTCTTATGGTAGTGTGTGGGATGATCAACGTCCACTGTATGAGTGAGAATATGTGATACTCAGATCTTTCTTTCTGTGAGAGGTCACACAATATTATAGACTCTAGCTACATCCAGGTTGCTGCGAAATTCATGATTTTGTTCTTCTTTATGGCTGCATAGTATTCCATCGTGTATATGTACCACATTTTTTTAATCAGTCCTCTTTTGAAGGACAGCATGGTTGGTTCCAGGTTCTTGCTATTATGAACAATACTGCGATAAACATTCGTGTGCAGGTATCTTTTTGATAGAGCGATTTGAGTTCTTCAGGGTATATTCCCATTAGGGGGATTGCAGGGTCATACGGGAGGTCGAGTTGAGAAAATGAGGTTTTGCTTTCAGAACCTCTATCCTCTTCCATTGATCAATATGCCTATTCCTATACCAATACCAAGCTATTTCAATGATTGTAGCTTTATAGAAAAGTTTGAAGTCTGGTAATGTGATACCACCTGCTTTGTTTTTTTTGCTGAGGATTGTTCTGGCTATTCTTGTTTGTTTGTGTTTCCATATGAATTCTTGTGTTGTTTTTTCTAGGTCTGAGAAGAATGTACCACATTTTTAAAATTCAGTCCTCTTTCAGCGGGCAGCACTGTTGTTTCCATGTTTTTGCTATTGTGAACAGTGTCGCAATAAACATATGGGTGCAGGTATCTTTTTCATAGAGTGATTACAAATCCTCTGGGTATATTCCCAGTAGGGGGTTGCAGGGTCATACAGAAGGTTGATTTTTAGATCTTTTAGGAATTGCCAAACTGTTTTCCACAGTGGTTGTAGTTTACACTCCTACCAACAGTGTAGAAGTTTTCCCTTTTCCTACATCCTCTCCATCTTCTGTTGTTTTTTGAGTTATTGATGATGGCCATCCCGACTGGAGTTAGGTAGTATCTCATTGTGGTTTTAATTTGCATTTCTTTGATGACTAGTGAGGCTGAACATTTTTTCGTGTATTGGTTGGCTGCTCATTTGGCTTCTTTTCAGTAGTGTCTGTTCATTTCTTTTTGGCATATTTGAGTTCCTTATAGATCCTAATGTTAGGCCTTTGTCAGATACACAGTTGGCAAATATTTTTTCCCAGTCTGTGGGCTGTCGCCCTGCTCTCTTGATGGTTTCTTGAGCTTTGTGGAAGCTTGTCGGTTTGATGAGGTTTCGCTTGTCTATCCTATCTCTTATGGCTTGGGCACTTGGGGTTTTGATCAGGAATTGGTTGCCAGTTCCAATTTCCTTAAGGGTGTCTCCTGCGTTTTCTAAGGTTCTTACAGTTTGAGGTTTACATTTAGGTCTTTGATCCATGTAGAGTTGATTTTTGTGTATGGTGATAGGTAGGGGTATTGTTGTAGTCTTTTGCATGTGGTTAGCCAGTTTTCCCTGCACCATTTACTGAGTAGGTTCTCCTCTCCCCAGTGGTTGGTGGTGGAGACTTTGTTGAAGATGAGTTGGTTGAGAAATTGAGATTTTGCTTCTGGAATCTCTGTCCTGTTCCATTGGTCTATATGTCTGTTTTTGTACCAATACTAGGCTCTTTTGATTATTGTAGCTTTATAATAAAGTTTATAGTCTGGACGTGTGATACCTCCTGCTTTATGTTTCTTTTTTTGCTGAGGATTGTTTTGGCTGTTTGTCGTCATTTATGTTTCCATATGAATTCCTGTTTTGTCACTTCCAGGTCTGAGAAGAATGCTGCTGGTAATTTAATGGGTATTGCGTTAAATCTGTAGATTACCTTGGGTAGGATGGACATCTTAACAGTATTGATTCTTCCAAACTATGAGCATGAAGTATTTTTCCATTTGTTTGTGTCATCTTTGATTTTTTTGAGTTGTGTTGTGTAGTTTTCGTTCTAAAGGTCTTTGACTTCTCTGATTAGGAAGATACCAAGGCATTCCAGTTTTTTTGTGACTATTGTGCATGGGTTTGTGCTTTTTATTTGGGTTTCTGTTTGTTTACTGTTGGTGTATAGAAATGCAGCTGTCTTTTGCACCTTTATTTAAAACCCTGGGACTTTGCCGAAGTCCTTTATCAGTGCAAGGAGGTTTTTGACAGATTATCTTGGATTTTTGAGGTATAGAATAATGTCATCTAAAGCTCAACTTCTATAGACTTTTTTCTAGACTCCTAGTATCTTATTTAGCTCCTCGGTTTTATTTTCATGCTTAGAGTCATTATGACATTAATTTGCACTTAATCTTTGAACAGAACTCCGGTGCTTTGTCTGAATCTGAGATGTGGACTTCAGCCTTCAATTTTATTTCTTCATCTAGGTCTTAGAAAAATAGCATGAAGTGACTAGGAAAAATATATACTTTTGTAGTCAAAAGATATTCATTAAGCAAACAGTTTTAGGGTACATACTTGGTACTTTGTTATCATTTTAAATGAATTTTATGAATTGACAGAATAAAACATTTTTTAAAATTGACTCATGATACTCAATAATCCTAAGAGAAGATGATACTTCGTGTATTTAGGTATAATTATTAATATTTCATCCACGTCATGTTCTGGGTTGTTAGCATGAGAAGTTATTCCCTGTGTTCCAGGAAATTAGCATATTACCAGTGAAAATTCTTAAATAAGTGTACAAAATACTTAACCTAGAACTTTTGTTAATTTCTTATAGATTCCACACCAAACCATCCATCACAAACAACACCAGCCCAAAAGAAAACTCCCAGTTCTTCATCTCGACAGAAAGATAAAGTTAACAAAAGAAATGAACGTGGTGAAACTCCTCTACACATGGCAGCTATCCGAGGAGATGTGAAACAAGTTAAAGAATTAATAGGTTTAGGGGCAAATGTGAATGTGAAAGATTTTGCAGGTAAGACTTGTAATTCAATACTAATAATCAGGAACTAAAATTTAAGCATATCCTGGTTATAGTTTAATCTACTTTATTTTATTCCTTTTGCTGAAATAAGAGAGTTCTAAAAGCATTCTGTTATAAAACTTTGGAGTGTGTACATGAAACCCTGATCTCTGCTACAATTCCTTGTCAATATTACCTATATTTTTAGTTGACATATTGCTGTATATTGTCTGTATAATTATTTATCCAATTTAGGTTATACTCAAGGTAAATTTGAATTATATAATGTTTTCAAAGTAATTCATAATTCTTTTAAGAACATTTATTAACTTGAACATGAGGACTGTAAGAGAAGGATGATGTTATTTTTATTTTCATTACTCAAATAGCATACCAGTATATTCTTACTGTAAAGAGTTCAAAACAGTAAAGGTATGCAGAGAACAATATAGAAATTTTCTTTAATTTCACATACTATGCTACCCTACCTTCCCTCCTCCCAGTTTCTTTGTATTCCAAAAAATTATTAGCAATTTGGAAGTCACCCTTTCAGTACCTTTTTATTATCTCATACACACATGATGAACATTTACTTATATATAGAATTTTTAAAAATGAAATTATTTTACCCATACCAATTTATAATTCTTAATGTCTTACATGTATTTCTGTCAGTATATAGATGATTATAAATTATGTCAGGCTTATATTTATTGGAAAGCTTAAGTATTTTGTATTTAAGTTTTAAAAAATAATTTAGCCCAGTGGAAATATAGTTGACCCTTGAACTGTGCAGGTCCATTTATGTGTAGTTTTTTTTCAATAAATATATTGGAAAGATTTTTGGAGATTTACAGCAGTCTGAGAAAACTTCAGACAAACTGCAGAACCTAGAAATACTGAGAAAATTAAGAAAATCAGGCAAAGGATACAAGGGGATACCCAAAAAAGCCCAGAATTATCTTTTGGAAGACAGACCCATTACAGTGCACTTGGAATTTGTTCCTCCATATTAAATGGTCATCCACAGTTTTTATCTGGAAGTTTTGAGAAGATTGCATCATGATCTGCAGAAGAAACATCCTTAGTTGTGGCAAGCAAGTGACTGGTTCTTCCTCCATGACAACACACCAGTCCACAATGCACTGAGTGTTCTGCGGTTTTTGACCAAAAATGGCATTTCTACTGTGTCCCACCCTTCCTACTGATCTCACACTAAGCATTTTTTTTGTTTTCCCGATGGAAAAATTCCTCAAAGGGAAATGTTTTACTGATGTGGGAAGAAATGAAACATAAAATGGCACGAGCATTAAGATGCATCCAAATTATAAGTTTAAAAACTATTTTGAGCCGTGAATAAAGTGTCTTGATAGGTATATTGCATCAAATAGAAAGTACTTTGTAGGTGACTAAAGTTTAAACGTGTAAAAACAAATTCCTTTTTTTTGTTTGTTTTTTGTTTTTTGTTTTCCCTTCTCGTATCTGCCTGAACAAGGTTTAAATGCAGATAAAAGTGCCCTATTCTGGAGAAAGAAACACCACAAAGGTCATTTATTAGTAAGGAAAAAAAGTGAGCACTAGGAAGGGATAGGCTAACTGCTGTTTTTGGAAAATGCAGCTGAGTTTATGATCAAGACTGCTCCTGATCCCTGAAGGGAAAAGATAAACACTAGCTGCCAGTATTCTAGCTATACAAGAGGCCTGAACAGTGGAAACCTTTTCCTGGATTTCATCAGTTTATTTCTCCCTAAATCAGAAAGTACCTTGCCAGTAAGTTCTTTTGATATTGAAGAATGTTCCTGTTCACTCAGATCCCTGTGGGTTCAACATCAAAGGTGTTGGAGTAGTCTACTTGCCCTCAAACCAGAATCTCTAATAACCTCTGGATCAGACAGTCATAAGGACATTGGAGGCTCATTACACAGGATACTCCTATGGAAAGGATTATCAACACTATGGGAGAGAACCCCAGTAGAGTATCATGAAAGTCTAGAAGTGTTATACCACTGCAGATGCCATTGTTGCAGAAAAAGCCACCAAGCCCAAACAATCATTTATTTCTGGAGAAAGCTGTGTCCTGATGTTGTGCATGACCTCATAGAATTTACCACAGAGCCAGTAATGGAAATCATGAAAGAGAATGTGGATATGGCAAAAAAAAAATGGAGCGTAAAAAAGGGTTTCCAGGTACAGATCTTAGAGAAATTCAGTAGCTAATCCAGAGTAATTAACAGAAGATGACTTGATGGAGATGCATCCTTTCAAACCATTATCAGGTGAAGAAGAACTAAGACTTAGAAGAAAAAGGAATACCAGTAAAAAATTGCTGGAAAAGTGTTTCAGTTATTTAAGACTGCTTTGACTTTTTAAAAATCCTTTTATGATATGGGCACTGAAACTAAAGAAGATAGGGGAAAAAAGGATTGGTACCATATTGAAACATTTTTAGAGAAATAAAAAAGCAAAAAGTTAGACAGAAATTGCAGTGTATTTTTGTAAAGGTATATATACCGAGTGTGCCTACCTCTTCTGCCTCCCTTTTTGCATCTTACCCCTCAGACAGCAAGACCAACCTATCATCTTCCTTCCCCTCCTCTTCAGTCTAGTTAGTGAGAAGACAATGAGGATAAAGATCTTTATGATGATCTACTTCAATTTATTAGTAAATATATTTTCCTTAGTATTTTTAAAACATTTTATTTTCCCTAGTTTACTAAAGAATATGTACTGTGTAGGAATACAATATATAATACATATAACATTAAAAATGTGTCAACTGTTATCAGCAAAGCTTCTGTTTAGCAGTAGGCTATTAGTAGTTAAGTTTTGGGGACGTTAAAGTTATATGTGGATTCTTGAACACATGGGGTCAATACCCCAGTCCTCACATTGTTCCAGTGTCAACTGTAATATTTTGTTGAATGAACCTTCAGTAAAATTAGTGACGTTCTTGGGTATTTATTTTCAGTAGCTTCTTTATATAACTCCTTTTTTCTTTTGTGCCATGTGCAAATTAGATTTCTTATGTCACACATAAGTATGTATATGAAAAGCATATATCTTAAATTAGTACAGGTGAATATTATATTAAATTAATATTCTAATTTGAGGTTGGACACCACTACATGAAGCTTGTAATGTTGGATATTATGATGTTGCCAAGATACTGATAGCAGCTGGAGCAGATGTTAACACACAAGGATTAGATGATGACACTCCACTCCATGATTCTGCAAGTAGTGGGCACAGAGATGTAAGTATGAAAGCACAAAAACAATAATATACCTCTTCAAAATAATAAGTTTAATCCAGGGTAATTTCATTCACTTCTTAATCATGTGATCTTGTGTCATATTTCACTCACTGCTTGATCAACTCATTTATATTTTGCCGTCCCTTTTTTTTTTTTAGCTTTCTAACTACTAATTCATAGTCAGATTTAGCATTATCTCTTTATAAAATATTCTCTTTAATTTGATAATTGATCAATTGGCAAAATTTTTGTTTCAAGACATTCTACTGTCAGACAACTGGACGTAGTGGTTAAAGTAGATTTTACATACAATAAAAATTTTGCAATGTTGCACTACCTATTTTTTAAAAGGCATTTTACTTAGATTGAAACAGTGAACGAATTGTTTCATGAACTTGGATTGAAGATAGATAGTTCCATTGTGGCCCACTAACTGTATAATCTTGTGCAAGTTACTTCTCATCTCTATTTCCTTCCTTATCTTTAAGTTATCTAATAAATAATACCTACTTAAAAGGGGATATTTTGAAGGAACAAAAAAACACGGTGCATGCAAGCACACATTAAAATGTAAAATGTTTATCAGGCTCAGTGGCTCATCCTGTAATCCCAGCACTTTGGGAGGCTGAGGCAAGTGGATTGTCTGAACCTGCAGACTCGAGGCCAGCCCAGGCAACTTGGTGAGACCTCATCTCTACAATAAATAAAAAATTAGCCAGGCACTTGGAAGGCTGAGGCGGAAGGCTTGCCGGAGCCCAGCAGGTTCACGCTGGAGTGGCCATGAACATGCCACTGCTCTTCAGCCTGGGCAACAGAGTGAGACTCCAACTCAATAGATAAACAAGCAGACAAATAAAAAATAAAATGTAAAATGTTACAGAGTTCAGAGTAAAAATTTAAGAACTGCCTTCTGGAAGATCAAGTTTACAGTGAGCTCTGATTGTGCCACTGCCTTCCAGCCTGGTTGGCAGAGTGAGACCTTGACTTAACAAAAGGAAGTAAAATTATAAATACAGTCTTTCTGGGTGCAAATACACCCAGATATTTTAGAACCAAAATGTAGAAATTAACGCTGTCTTTCCTAATTTCATTTTTCTGTAACACATTTTTTCATGTCTCAATAAGGATAAGGAAGTTATTTTGAAAGAAGAAAAAATGCAACTCCTAAATATGAATTTTTTTTGAACTGGTCCTTGTTTACCATTGGACTATTCTTTTCCTCTCTACTCCTTTGGCAATTTGTATAAACCTTTGTGATAGCACTTACTATGTAATTTTTTACTGATGTTTTCTTCTAATGTCACATTTTCTGTACTAGATTGCATATAGGCATTTTGTGGTTTTTTTTGTTAATGACTCTAGAACTGCTTGTCATATAAGAAATGCTTGATAAATTTGGCACGAATGGATGAATGGATGGGTGGGTGGGTGGGTAACTGAGGAAAGGCAAAATGCCAAAAATTTAATCTGTAGGACCTGACAACAGTTAGGGTACATTGCCCTTTCCTCTGTATTTATCAGAAACTGATTTTGTTTTCTGACTAGCATATTTTAAATACTGTACTTTTGCCCTTTTAAAATGTATTATTGACATAGTTTACCAAAGATGAATAACTTTTCTTTGAATACAATAATAAAGGTTTCCTGTTTTCTGCATGTAATTTTAAATAATTATGCCTGTAAATAAGATAGTTTCTATGAATACAATTTTCTAAATATCCACATAGCTACAAAATCTTTCCAGAAGCTGACCTTTGAACATATATACTTACAAGGACTCATTATTTCCAGTCTCTTTCCAGAGGGAGACTGGTATGCTATTTTCAAGAGACCTTTGGTTTTCCTTCTACCAGCATGTATAGGATAGTAGGGGTCACAGTTTGAGAACTATTGAGAGTTATTTTCTCTTTGTTCTTTTACTTGTGTCTAAGGAGGAGGGAAACGAGATCTACTAAAAACTTATTTCTGTATATACGTACTATGTGTTTTGAGCCTCTGCCAAAGAATTGGATTTCACTCAGTGATAGTCATGACAACTTAAGCCATTCATAAGGCTTTTTTTTTTTCTTTTTTTGATTTGGAGTCTCACTCAGTTGCCCAGACTGGAGTGCAGTGGCCGCTCCCGGCCACCTCAGCCTCAACCTGCGGCACTCCGGCAATCCTTCCACCTCAGCCTTCCAAGCAGCTGGAACTACAGGCGCATGCTACCACACCTAACTCATAAAAGTAGAGCTGCAAAGGACGACTCATTTTTTGATTTTATTGTAGAGATGAGGTCTCGCCAAGTTGCCCGGGCGGATCTTGAACCTGCGGGCTCAGGCAATCCACTCACCTCTGCCTCCCAAAGCGCGGGATTGCAAGCTGAGCCACTGAGCCTGGCCCATAAAGCATTTTTAAGGTGGTAGAAGCAGAAGGTAATGGTTCTGTAACCAGGTCTGTGAAAGGACTAAATTTTCCTACTGTCTAATGTTACAGATAGTGAAACTATTACTCCGCCATGGTGGAAATCCATTTCAAGCTAATAAACATGGGGAGCGTCCGGTGGATGTAGCAGAAACAGAGGAATTGGAGTTGCTACTAAAAAGAGAGGTGCCTCTGTCTGATGATGATGAAAGCTACACAGGTTTGTTTCAAATAACCTACATTCAACTGTTCGTTTGATGTGATATTTGGTAGAACATTCTGGATTACTTTAGAATACATAGAATGTTTGGATATCTTAGGTTAATGCTGGCTAGCTGTTATTAGAATACTACTTAGCTAACTAGCTAAGAATAGTGAAGTTAATAACCTGGACATTTGCTACATATCCCCTGTGTGAATGGAGTCTTAGTGCCATTGACCTATTTCTATTTTTTCCCCATAAATGTCTAAACTATTCTTTTATTACTTTCAAACCTACTACAGAGCCTCTCTCTATGCACAGAAACCGCCATTGCCACTCTGACTTCTTTTCATTCTATTAAAAGTTATAGAACTACTAACCAAACCCTTAGTGTTTTTATCTGGCAGTAATGAGTCGTCCTTTGCAGCTCTCCTTTTATGAGTTAGGTGGTTGAACATTGGTCATTGTTGCGGGGAAGGGGCAATTTTTCTATAGATACAATTTTTTAAAAGAAAAATCCAGCCGGGCTCGGTGGCTCAGCCTGTAATCCCGCGCTTTGGGAGGGTGAGGTGAGTGGATTGCCTGAGCCTGTGGGTTCGAGACCTGCGTGGTGCAACTTGGTGAGACCTCATCTCTACAATAAATAAAAAATTAGCCAGGTGTGGTAACATGCACCTGTAGTTCCAGCTACTTGGAAGATTGAGGCGGAGGGATCGCCGGAGCCCAGTGGGTCGAGGTTGCAGTGACCGGGAGCGGCCACTGCACTCCAGTCTGGGCGACAGAGTGAGACTCCAACTCAAAAATAAATAAATAAATAACAGAAAAATTCAAAAGAGTATTTAGAAAATTTTCGCATTTTTGGATTTTTAAAAATCATAAACAGGCCGGGCTTGGTGGCTCAACCTGTAATCCCAGCACTTTGGAAAGCCAAGGTCAGTGGATTGCCTGAGCCCGCGGGTTCGAGACCAACTTGGGCAACTTGGTGAAACCTCATCTCTACAATAAATCAAAAAAATTAACCAGGCATGGTATCTCACGCCTGTAGTTGCAGCTACTTGGAAGGTTCAGGTGGAAGGATCGCCAGAACCCAGGAGGTTGACAGTGGGTTGACCGTGAGTGTGCCATGGCACTCCAGCTTGGGTGACAGAATGAGGCTCCAACTCAAAAAAAAAAAATTATGAACAATACAACAAAAAAGGCTGAACATGGTGGCTCACACATGTAATCCCAGGGCTTTGGGAGACTGAGGCAGGAGGATTACTTAAAGCTAGGAGTTCAAGACCAGCCTGGGCAAAATTGTGAGACCCCATCTCTACAAAAACTAGAAAAATTAGCCTCGTGTGATGATGTATGCCTGTAGCCCTGGCTACTCGGGATTCTTTGAGCCCAGGAGTTCAAGGCTGTAGTGAGCTATGACCACTCCACTGTACTGTAGCCTGGGCAACAGAGTGAGACCCCATCTCTAAGGGGAGATATATATATATATTGCACACACACAAAACTTTCCTATGTTGAAGAAGGTCGTCTCTATATAGATTGGAGATGTTCACCATATTCCAGGAAAGTCAATGAAAAAGAATTTTATCAACTTTATAAGGCTGCATCAGAACAACCTGTTACAGGATAGAGATTTTGGAACCTCAGTTTCTCAACCTTAGACAAGGCTTCCAACAACCACTGGGGAGAGGAGAACCTATTCAGTAAATGGTGCTGCGAGAACTGGCTGACCATGTGCAGAAGAATGAAACAGGACTCCTTACCTATCACCATACGTAAAAATCAACTCCAAATGGATCCAAGACCTAAATGTAAAACCTTAAATTTTAAGAATTGTAGAGAATTCAGGAGACAGTCTTAGGGAAATTGGAATAGGCAACTAGTTCCTGATCAAAAGCCCATGCCATAAGATATAGTATAGACTGCTGGGACCTCATCAAACTGAAAAGCTTCTGCAGAGCAAAAGAAACTATCAAGAGAGTGGGGAGACAGCCCACATAATGGGAAAAAATATTTGCCAACTGTATATCTGATAAAGCCCTAACATCCAGGATCCACAAAGAACTCAGAAGTACCAAAAGGAAAAAAACAGCCCCATTACAAAGTGGGCAAAAGACATGAATATGAATAGACACTTCTCAAAAGAAGATAGCCAACAGACGCACGAAAAAATGCTCAGTCTCACTAATCATCAGAGAAATGCAAATCAAAACCACATTGCGATACCACTAAACTCTAGTAAGAGTGGCCATCATTAATAAAGTGAACAACAACAGATGCTGGCGAGGATGTGAAGAAAGGGGAACACGTTGATGGAAATGTGAACTAGTTCAACCTCTGTGGAAAACAGTGTGGCTATTCTTAAAAGAACTAGAAATTGGCCTTCCATACAACCTAGCAATCCCCCTTCTGGGAATATACCTGAAAGAATTAAATCACTCTATATAAAAGATACCTGCACATGCATGTTTATTGCAGCACTATTTACAGTAGCAAAACATGGAACCAACCATGCTGCCCATCAAAACTGGACTGGAATTTAAAGATGTGGTACATATCATATACATGATGGACTATCACACAGCCATAAAGAAGAAGAAAATTATGGACTTCACAGCAACTTGGATGAATTTACAATACTTAGTGATCTAACACAGAAACAAAGAGCAGAGTACTATATGTTTTCATGCCTAAGAGGACCCTGAACATTTACCATAATACAATAAGAAAGGAATTGCCAGTAGCAAGAAACTGCTAGTGGGGATGAGCGGAGCAGGCACATAGCATTCATATGGGTACCTGATCACAAACCAGGCAAGGTGGAAACCAAAGGTCGGCCCAAACTTTACCTGTACGAGGACCACTTGTATACCTACCTTATCCTGTATTGTACCCCACATCTTTAAAATAAAGAAATAAAAAGAGTTTTATCAGTCTTATAAATGACCATGTCCTCACAAAACCTGAAAGAATGCATATAAGTAACTAGGTAATATTACTTTTATGTTAACAATACACATGAAGGGATAAAAACCATACCTTACTCATTAGTCTTAGCCATTGATTGACTGAAGGTAGTAGAACAACATCTGTTGTTTGTTGGTTTGTTTTGTTTGTTTGTCCCAGTTGGGGTCTCAGTCTGTTGCCCAGGCTGGAGTGCAGTGGCACAATTGTAGCTCACTGCAGCCTCAAACTTTTGGTCTCAAGTGATCTTCTCACCTTCGCTTCCCCAGTAGCTGGGATTACAGGTGTGCACTGTCATGCTCAGCTAAACATCCACAATTTTGAAGTAGAAAGTTTTACCCTTTAGTTTTACTTACTACAACTAATTTGTCTTTCACATGGAAAGTCAACTGAAAGAATGCACCTTCTGAATATAACAACCTTCTTGTCTTGTTGAACAAAAGTTCATTGTAAATATACTCTGACTAAGAGATGAGGCCAAATTATGAACAAAAGAAGAAAGAAATCATGGAATGAAAGTTTTGGCAGTGAGCACTGATTATAGAAGAGATGTGTGAATAACTGTGGCAAATATTGTCAAATTGACTGTGAGTGTCAGATCATACTTTAAAAGGGAAAAATTAAAACGCAGTAACAATCTGAAATTTAAATAACAATTAAGACCTTCGAGACCGCTTCCGCCCACTTGCGCCGACCTGTGCCCTCGCTCCAGTCCACGCCACTCCAGCTCACCATGGACGTTGATATCGCTGCGCTTGTTGTTGACAACAGCTCCAGCATGTGCAAGGCCGGCTTTGCGGGCGACAGTGCTCCCTCTTCCCTTCCATTGTGGGGTGTCTGCGGCATCAGGGCGTGATGATGGGCATGGCCCAGAAGGACTCCTGTGTGAGCGATGAGGCCCAGAGCAAGAGAAGCATCCTGATCCTGAGGTACCCCATTGAGCATGGCATCGTCACCAACTGGGACAACATGGAGAAGATCTGGTACCATACCTTTTGCAATGAGCTGCGTGTCGCCCCCGAGGAGCACCCCATGATGCTGACCGAGGCTCCCCTGAACCCCAAGGCCAACCGGGAAAAGATGACCCAGATCATATTCGAGACCTTCAACACCCCAGCCATGTACGTGGCCATCCAGACTGTGCTGTCCCTGTATGCCTCTGGCCGCACCACTGGCATCGTGATGGACTCAGGGGATGGGGTCACCCACACTGTGCCCATCTACGAGGGGTACGCCCTCCCCCATGCCATCCTGCGTCTGATCTGGCTGACTGAGACCTGACAGATTACCTCATGAAGATTCTCACCGAGCATGGCTACAGCTTCACCACCACAGCTGAGCGGGAAATTGTGCGTGACATCAAGTAGAAGCTGTGCTACGTCGCCCTGGACTTCGAGCAGGAGATGGCCACCTCCTCCTCCTCCCTGGATAAGAGCTACGAGCTGCCTGACGGCCAGGTGATCACCATCAGCAACGAGCGGTTCCACTGCCCCGAGGCTTGCTTCCAGCCTGCCTTCCTAGGCATGGAATCCTGTGGCATCCACAAAACCACCTTCAACTCCATCATGAAATGTGATGCAGACATCCGCAAGGACTTGTACCCCAACATGATGCTGTCTGGAGGTACCACCATGTACCCAGGTATCGCTGACAGAATGTAGAAGGAGATCACTGCCCTGGCGCCCTGCACGATGAAGATCAAGATCATTGCACCCCCTGAGTGCAAGTACTCCGTGTGGATTGGTGGCTCCATCCTGGCCTCACTGTCCACCTTTCAGCAGATGTGGATCACAAGCAGGAGTACGACGAGTCCGGCCCCTCCATCGTGCACCGCATGTGCTTCTAGCGCGTTATACCCTTCTTGACTAGCGCGTTACACCCTTCTTGACAAACCTAACTTGCACAGAAAACAAAATGAGATTGGTGTGGCTTTATTTGTCTTTTTTGTTTTTATGTGGGTTTTTTTGGCTTGATGACTCTCAGGACTTACAAACTGGAATGGTGAAGGTGACAGTGAGTTGGAGCGAGCATCCCCAAAGTTCTGCAATGTGGCCAAG